GTATGTGAACATGGCATGTTTCCTTTTACAAAATCATATATAGTGATAATTCTCCACCACTCTTCTTCTTCAACTATTGTCTTTGATCAGGCCTGCCTGCATTATTGAACCATATCTAAGTTTTCCTGGAAATTGCTGGTTTATAAGTTTTATCTTTAACATTCTCATTTAGGGACTGTAGTGGAACCAAAAGCTACTGCAGCTGCTGAGCCGTTGTTGCTCAATGCTGTGCGAGGGCAGGATGTTGAAAGAACACCAGTTTGGCTTATAAGGCAAGCAGGGAGGTACATGAAGGCAGGTTTTTAAATCGGTGTGGTTTCAAAAGGTTTTTTTTTTTTTTTTTATGTGCTGCATTTACTTTGGAGATTGCATACCACAAATGTAATATGTCTGCTTGATGCTTGTGCTAGCAAACCCTTCTCGAAAAAGAGAAAAAAAAGATTTATCTTTTATTTCCTTTGATAATCTAATAGAAGGATCCCAGTAGGCTATATGATATTTCAAAATGAGGATTCTATGGTGGAGAAAGTATAGCCTAATTCCTCACCGCAGTTCTAGTCATTAAAGAAAGAAAAAAAAAAGAAAAAGGAAAGAACAGAAAAGAGTGAGTAGATTTCTTGATGATGTAGAATGAAAATTTCCTAAAAAACTTGCCACATAGAACTTGCCAGGTTTTAGTAAGTTATCTAAAAACCTTGCTTTTATGCTTTTGTCAGATCAAGCAGAAATGAAAAGTAGATATTTTCCAATATTTATGTGCTAATGTTTATGCAGCCATTTTATATGCTAGTTTTGCAGGCTTTTTTTTTTTTGTTTTTCTTTTGCAAATCTTATGCTTTGATGCCATCTTTTACTTCACTTTCTATTTATATGCGTGTAGGTCTTTTTTCCTTGAGCCTTGTTTATTTCTTGTAATTTCAATGTTGGCATCTCTTGTTTTTGCTTCTCAAAGAAGAGAGTAGGTAATTGTTTTTTGCTTTCATGCTCCTTCTCCTTTTCAATTATGCCTGACTTTGAATGTTTCATATTTTAGAGCTACCAAATTATCTGTGAAAAATATCCTTTCTTCTGTGAAAGATCAGAAAATGTTGATCTTGTCGTTGAGATTTCACTGCAGCCATGGAATGTTTTCAAGCCTGATGGGGTTAGGTTTTTTTGTAATCCTTTTAATTATTTTTCTTGAATGAATATTTCTGATTGCTGTTTTATTATTCTTGGTTAAAATCCCCCATTTCTCCACATTTTGGGTATCAAGAGGCTTCAGTTGACTTTTCCATTCTTTTGACAAGAAAGCCAAACACCTCCACTCCTCATTCTTTTTGCTCTTTGCAGATTGCAAGTTATTATCATTTTGAATCATTGTGTATTGTGACAGGTCATTTTATTCGCTGATATTCTTACTCCTCTTTCTGGGATGAACATACCTTTTGACATTGTGAAAGGTAAAGGTCTGCTTATCTTCGACCCTCTAGCCACTGCTGCTGATGTTAATAAAGTGAGAGAATTCGATCCTGAGGAGGCAGTTCCTTATGTTGGCGAAGCATTGACAATCTTGCGGAAAGAGGTCTATATTGACATTTCTTATACTATTGTCCTAATTTGAATTTCTTATTTTCCCCATTATTTTCAGGGTTTTTTTTTTTTTTACATATGTAAAACATCCATGTCTTGCCATGTACCATATGGTATTTTCCACATACCATCAGTTGTGCATTTGGAATGTTCTTAGGCAGGAATGGCAAACAAATAATGGAGTTAAACAACCGATGATAATCAATTAGAGAAGTTTGCTAACCTTAATGTTCCCAAACAAAAAGGTTAGCCATTAGGCCTCTCTGCAGTAGTATTTTTGCCTCAATGTACCTAATTGATTCCAAAATAGTTATTCCCTAACCCTTTTGCGATCCCTTGGATCAACCCTCTATGGTCAGATGTATGTAATTATCTGACCTTTACTATTTTTTTGTACTACCATTTTATATAAGGACGTAGTATTGTTCTTTGAGAACTCAGGTAACATTGTAATGCTCTTGCCTACTTAATGGCGTTTCAATAAATTTAAAAGCTAGTGTAGACTCACCCCTTCTCTTTGTTTTGCCAGGTAGATAACAAAGCTGCAGTTCTAGGTTTTGTTGGTGCTCCGTTAACGCTAGCATCATATGTGGTTGAAGGTGGTTCATCAAAGAACTTCACCAAAATAAAAAGACTGGCCTTCTCTCAACCCAAGGTAATTTTAGTTCTCTTTCTCTAGCATCTGAGACCTATTGTAGTGATGTTTGTCTTCTTTGCTGTTTCTTCTGGACCTGGTCCTTGTCTTAAATAGTGTCCATTACTGAAACAACAAACTTCAGGTGAACAACATAAGAGTTTTCTGTCTGCTACTTCAAAAGTTAATTGCCAGTTTGATTGCCTTTGGTTTTTCTTATTTTTCATCTGCTTCTCAAAACATTTGTCAACTACCCTTAATTGTGAACAATGTTGTCAACTGGGTTCCATATTGACCTTTTCCTCGTACAGGTACTTCATTCTTTGCTTCAGAAATTTGCGACCTCCATGGCAAGGTACATTCGATACCAAGCTGACAATGGAGCTCAAGCTGTTCAAATTTTTGACTCTTGGGCAACAGAGCTCAGTCCAGTGGATTTTGAGGAGCTCAGCTTGCCCTATTTGAAGCAAATTGTAGATGCTGTAAAACAAACCCATCCAGATCTTCCTCTAATCCTTTATGCAAGTGGATCTGGGGGCTTGTTAGAAAGGCTAGCTTTAACAGGTGTAGATGTAGTTAGCTTAGATTGGACATTTGACATGGCTGAAGGTAGAAGGTGACTTGGACATGATATTGCTGTACAGGGAAATGTTGATCGTGGTGTTCTTTTTTGTTCAAAGGAGTTCATCACCAATCGGATAAACGATACCGTGAGAAAAGCTGGTAAAGGGAAACATATATTGAATCTAGGTCATGGGATTAAAGTAGGTACACCTGAGGAAAATGTTGCCCATTTCTTTGAGGTTGCTAAAGAAATCAGATACTAAAAACGACAAGGGATTAACTATTTGCATGCTGAATATAGTTTATGTATCTTAAGGTTCTTTTTTCCAGCCTTTGATTCTTCATTTGTATTTATATTGTTCCATGCTGGAGAAACATACTAGAGTAATATAATTTTGTTGACAGCTTCGATCCTTGAAGTCTAGGAGTGCAGATAAAATCACTTACTCCTTAATCCACAATCGATATAGTTATTTTAAGCTTGAATTTAATTCAGTTGGTTCATACAATTATCTTTAGAATGTGATAATTCGTAAGTTTGGGATTTAAACAATGATACTTATAATTTCTTTTTCTATTCTAATACGGTATTTTTTTGTACTAAGAATATAAAAAAAATTGTTGAAGCTATTCATTGCAAAATTTTACTTAGAATCTACATAATTTTTTTTTTCCGTTCTACAATTTGCTATAGTCCTATTCTCACGACAAGCATTAGCCTATATGTCTGCTATGTTTTTGATCTTGGTTACATTTAGACGGGGTTTGGGGGAGCACTTGCAGTATACTTCTTAACCTTTCATTGGAAAAGTAACCGACCGTTAGAAGTCAGAAGGTTAACATAAGTTTGGTTTGGTTTTGTTTGTTATATGTAACTAAAACTCTAAATTTGGAAACATCCTTCTCATCTAAGTTGTAACTGCGGCCTTTTCATTCCTTTATTTTGAATCTCCTATCCAGAAAAGGTCAGGGGACCGTTATAAATCATGTTCCTTTATTTTGAATCGCCTATGCAGAAAAGTGTCAGGGGACCGTTATAAATCATATGCCTCATCTAACTACAGTCAAAATACTCCCATCATGTGCTCTTATTCACCTTTTTGCCAAGGCTATGACAACAAGATAGAAATCTATAACAGGAATCACAACCTTTGATCCCATCCAATTATAGAGTGATATAACAACAAAATTTGATGATTATGTTGACGACTTTGGAATTCTTTACAGTGGAAAAGATGGATCAAAGTCATTGGAGCCATGCTGAAATGATGTCGTTAGGCCGAAAAGAGGCCAAAGGAATTTAAGATTCCAGATTCAGCTTAGCTTATAATATATCAAATGGGTCATTAATAGAATCTGACCATTTATCATTTGGGTTTAGGCTCAAAAATTATAGGTTGTTTACCTACAGGTTTTTATGCTAGTGATGATTGTTGCAAAACATACTGAATATGCTGATAGCATCTTAGAATAAAGTTAAGAAGGTTGACTACTTTCACTGACTTTTCAGCCAATATATATTATATATATATTGTTTTTGGGCAAAATAAATGGTATCAAACCTACCAATTACCAAATCTACTCAGCAAATATGCTAATGCCACCTCAATGATCATCTATGTTTTAAATAGTTCATACATCATTGGTCAGTTATATCTGTACAATTTGTGCACATTCATGATATAACTCCTTTTCTTTTGCTATTTATTTAATATAGTTTAAATTTCGGGTTTTAATATTTAGAATCGATGTGATGGGTCCTTAAAATGATTGAAAAAAAATTGTCCAAACAAATTAAGTTTGGAATATTCTGCAAAAACTAGAGTCCATGTAGAATGCTAATCCTGCAAAAAATTTAGAATTGATTCCCTAGTTCTTAGACAAGGATAAAATTAGAAAAAATGCAAAAAAAAAAAAAGAAGCCTCGCAATCATCATGCTTCAGGCCAGAAGTTAGAAAACAGTGGGGCCAACAAGGCGGTTACCAACCCATAATCACACAATAATATTGTCAAAATTTTCGACTTTAAGATGTGGGTCCAAGCAAATTTCATGGAACATCAACTCTTTCAAGACCTGACGCCAATAATAAAGTCAATTTACAAGAAATTCAAAAGGAAGAAGCAAATACTTTTAGGACTCTATGGTCTAATTTTGTCCTTTAGTTTTGCTTCATTATGCCATCTATGGACTAGTGGTTTGCAAAGACAGCCAGTTTAGGAGCCACCAGGAATCTACTTGCCTGATCAATAATGCTGCTTAAACAGTTCATGTTTTCATTGGTTTTGTTTGGACAATTTAAATTTGGGTTTAATGGCTTAAGAAAAGGTTCGGTTTTTGAAAAGAAAAAGAGAACCTGTCATTTCTCAAATCCTTGTTTTCCGTCCACCCATTAAGGGTGACCTTTTGTTTTCAGTTTTGACAGCAATAGAAAAGCCAGGCTTTGGTCCTAGCCAACACCTTACATATGCCTTCCATATATAGTTCAAAGCCAGTAATGCCAATTATTAAATGACGAATTGCATTATATTACCGTACATAGTATTTGCAACATCTTTGTCTTTCATCTGTCCCCCGCTACCTCCTCCTCAAAAGGCCTTCTTCCACTCAAAACTCTACATTATCTCTTTTTCATTTCCCTTCAAAAGTAAGTTTGATTCTTTCTTTCTTCCTGAATTTCATTGCTTTCTTTATTCTTCATTTTTGAGGGTCTCTTGATCTAGGTTGTAATCTTGGACATGAGATGAGACCAATAGTTTTGTTTAAACCTGTTTCCTCATTGTTGAATCATGTTCATCCTGTGAAATTGATGGATTTTAAATGTTTGTTTCTGGGTATTTTTCTAAATCTAATCTAAACAACTTTCTGTTCTCTGAAATGTTTGTTTTGCCTTATTCATTTCTCATCTACATTTTGTCTGCTTAGAAAATGTTTTTTTTTTTTCCCAATCTAGATTTAGCCCTAGAATTCATTGTTTATGTTGTCCATACCTGTTATTACTGAATATCTTTAATAGCTTGACTACGTTGGTGAAATCAATTATTTGTATTGTGTTAGCTTAAGAGTTTGTTTCCATATCTTTCAAAACATTGTTTAGCTATCTTTAAGTTTTTGACATGAAAGAATGTTTCATAAGTGGTTATCTGAAAGTAGATGGGAATTTAAATTGTAAAAGACTAGCTGCTAAATTTCTTATGCGTTAGTTAATCTTGTTCAACCATGTGAACCATGATGCTGCATTTGGATCTGTGAATGAGAGATAACATAAAAGTAATAAAGAAAGAAGGTTTTGATGGAATATTTAAAGAGGAATACACCATTATCGAGTATGTTTGCAGGTTAGATAAATTTTAAATCTAAATCTGAATCCGAAGTCTTTATTTAATCTATCTGAATCTGAAGTCTTTTCTTTTTTTTCTTTTTTTTTTTTGGAATTTGATCCACTGATCTTTTAATTGCAGCCAATATAACTGAGCCAACGCAATAATACATATTTCTTGCAGACTTATCAGGTTTATATAGTTTTGTGCTATCAATTCTAATGACCCTGTATATAACTGCATAAATCTAAACAAAGATTTGAACCAAATGTGCAATCAGTCATCTAGTTGTTTAGCGTGTTTTTGTGTTCATCATCTTACATTCTAGGCCTACATTTGAGGATAATTGAAAGAGCTGCTTTTGTTGGTTTTCAGCAGTTTATGCATCATGATTCTAGGAGATGTCAGCGAGTCAGGTTTTGCATTTGATGCATTACTTATGTAATTTAGTTTATGAAGAAACAAAATATAGCTAAAAAACAAGCTTTTTAATGATTCATATGAACATTTCTTTATACTACACATGAATATCAGATAATAATTTCCATTAGAGAAAATTACACTCCTACTCACTAAAAGCTTCATCTGGAAAAATTGAGTTGAACGACTTGTGTTTGCTGGCTAATGTGGTACCACTGGTATCGGCACATAGTTGAGAATTTGGAGCATCACTGAGTAATATTTATAGTGACTTTTTATGCATTTCTTGACTTGAAGCACGAGCATGAATTCAGAATATATATGGTGTTTTTCTGCTGATTGAATCATTGTCTACTTGCCTCTTTGTGTCTTTCAGACAGCATACAGACAGGACCAGGGAATGCAGAAAGATGTGTTTGCACGCTGTGAACTTTTTCTCTGAAGCCGATAAGGTTGTGTCCACTTCTGAATTACCCCTATTCATTCTCGATGAGGTTGGATACTCAATGGATAGCAAATTCAAGCTCTGTGTCCAAATTCTTAATAGAATTGAAAACAAAGTTTCTGTCATGTTGATGCATGACCTTGTTGAAGACGGTTGATTTCTGCTGTAGGCACTCCTGCTCTTTAGAGTGTATATGTAATAATTGCTGGAGATAGTACTTTATTGGAGTGTGTTAGGATTCGAACTTGGGAATGGAGAATAAGGGGAAAGTATTGATGCAAAAGTATGAATTTGGGAGATTGTTAGGGCAAGGAAACTTTGCTAAAGTTTACTATGCAAGGAATATTGAAACCAACCAGAGTGTGGCGATTAAGGTTATTGACAAGGAGAAGGTTTTAAATGTAGGGATGATTGATCAAACCAAGAGGGAGATATCTGTTATGAGCCTGGTTAAACACCCTAATATCTTGGAGCTTTATGAGGTCATGGCTAGCAAAAGCAAGATTTACTTTGTTATGGAATATGCCAAAGGGGGTGAACTCTTCAACAGGGTGTCAAAAGGAAAGCTGAGAGAAGACATGGCAAGGAAGTATTTTCAACAACTGATCAGTGCTGTTGACTTTTGCCACAGCAGAGGTTTTTATCATCGGGATTTGAAGCTGGAGAACTTGCTCCTGGATGAAAATGGAATTCTCAAAGTATCGGATTTTGGTTTGAGTGCCATTGCTGAGTGTAAACATCAAGATGGGTTACTCCACACAACTTGTGGAACCCCTGCCTATGTAGCTCCTGAAGTTATAAACAGAAAGGGTTATGATGGGGCCAAAGCTGACATCTGGTCTTGTGGGGTGATCCTCTATGTTCTAGTGGCTGGTTATCTGCCATTTCATGATTCAAATCTAATTGCAATGTACAGAAAAATAAGCAAGGCAGACTACAAATTTCCTACCTGGTTTTCACCTGAAGTGAGCAAGCTGTTGTCAAGAATCCTCAATCCTAACCCAAAAGCTAGAATTTCAATTGCAAAAATCATGACAAATCCTTGGTTCAAAAAGGGCTTTAACTCCAAACCAGTTCAGAAGAAAGATGAAATGGAATTGGCTCCTCTCAATATTGATGCCGTTTTGGGTTCTGAGACTAATTACTACAATGCATTTGAAGCGAAGAAAGACAACTCTAAGCTCACTAATTTGAATGCCTTTGACATTATTTCTCTATCAAGTGGGTTCGATTTGTCTGGATTATTTGCAAAAAATGATGAGAAGAAGGAAGTAAAATTCACTTCCATGCATACTGCCTCTGCCATCACATCTAAACTAGAGGAAATTGCTCAGAATTTGAAGTTAAAAGTTAAGAAGAATGATGGAGGGCTGTTGAAAATGGAAGGATCAAATGGAGGTAGAAAAGGCGCCTTGGCTATTGATGCCGAAATATTTGAGTTCACCCCATCTTTCCATTTAGTAGAGATGAGGAAATCCAATGGTGATACATTGGAGTTTCGAAAGATGTTGCAACAGGATGTTAGACCAGCTCTCAAGGATATTGTTTGGGCTTGGCAAGGTGAGCAGCAGCAACAACAACAACAACAACAGCTGCACTCATCCTAACTCTCTTCGTACCGAAGTGTCTCAAGTTTATTTTTTGAATGATGTGTTCTTTTTCTTGAATAATTGTAGCCAAATTTGGATTTCTCGAAATCTACTTAAACGCCCAATTCCATTGCAAAATTTTGGCTACTTGGTGTTAGTTACTTTTATTAATGTTCACATGCTGGTTTCTTTTCTCCATAGCTGGCATGCTTCCATGATTTCTTGTTTGAGTTGTGTTGAAATTTGAATAGGACATCTGTTACGATTTATGGTCACTTAATTAGTGGTAAGATATTTGGTTACTATTACATGATCATGTGCTTGGCAGAGGCTCTTGGCTTTGCTGTTGATATCTAAAAAACAGTAAGGCTCCAAAACATCCAGCTTTGCTGCTCTTCTGTTTCAATCTCAAATTCAGTATCTGGTGCACGAAATTGTCTAGAACTGCAACAATGATCTAGAAATCAGATTGTTTCTTCGTTGGTGGAGTTTAAAAACTCAAATGGCGATATATTTTATAATTTTCTTGATTAAAATGTGAAATGAGTGCTTAACTAGTCTCTCTGCTGTCATATACAACATATACAGGATGTTTAGCCTTACTCTTGAGTCTTAGGTTAATTTCAATAATATAAGTTAATTAAAACATGAAATGAGTGCTTAACCTTATTCTTGACTCTTATATTAAAGTGTCAATAATATTTGAAAGTTTTGTGAATCAATATATATAATAGATGATTTGAAAATTTTATGCAGCCATTGTCTTTGTTTATTAATAATTTATTTTTGATTATTATTAATACAATCTTCAATAATTTCAAGTATAAAAAATTCAGATTTCAATTCACTCCAAATAAAATAAATATCCACAATATTTATTTGAAAATTTTCAATGATAAGTCAAAAATAATTAAGAAAATCAATAAAGAAAAGATCCCTCACTAAAAAAAAAGAAGAAATTTTGATACAGAAATTTCCTCTGAGGTGTCCTCCAGCAAAAAGGAATCCTAGATAACGAACAACCAAACAGGACTAGGATTTCCAAATCGTACAGTGTTTCCTTTATAATTATAAATACCCTTGATTTGGCCTTTCATACTATCTCAAATCTCTGGTTTTTTCACTGTTTGGATTCATCTGCTTTCTGTTCTGTTTTCTTCCCTGCTTCTGTTTTGATGGCTGCGGCAAAGTCATGTCCATTGCCATCCTACACGCCACAAGAAGTGGCTGCTGTCTTCGTGGACCGCTACTATTTTTTGCTCCGTGATTCTCCAGGAGAGCTTCACAAGTTTTATCTGGATTCAAGCATGGTGAGTCGGCTGGGACCTGATGGTGCAATGATTAGCTTCACAACCATGGAAGAAATCAGGAAACATGTTCTTTCTTCCTTGGATTGCAAGGAATATGAAATTCTTTCTTCTGATGCACAACTTACAGCAAACGAGGGAGTGTTTGTTGTGGTTATCGGTTGCTTCACTACAAAGAATAATCAGATGAGGAACTTCAATCAATCCTTCCTCCTCACCCCAATGGAAAGAGCCAATAGTTACTTTGTCTTAAATGATATTATGAGATTTCTTGATGAGCAAGAAACAAAAGTTGTTCATAGTGAAGATGTCCTAACTGCTGTTTCAACTTCAACATCGGATGATGAGCCAACCAATGATGTTCCTAAAAAAAGTTTTCTGTCGGTGGTGCATGCACTGAAAGAAAACACTGCTCCCTTTAAGGCGCCTCCGGTAAGAAAATCAATTAGCAGAGCACCTCAAGAGTCTAATTTTGATGAAAAAAGTGGCTCGGAAGAGAAGAAGAACACCAGGACTGTGGACAATGTTGAGGGAACATCTATATTTGTCGGTAACTTGGCAACGGATTCAAAGCCTGAAGAACTCTATGAGGCTTTCAAGAGTTTTGGACCAATTAAACGTAATGGGGTTCAAATTAGAACTGATAAACAGCACAGATGGTATGCTTTCATTCAATTTGAGTCTTTTTGTTCTGCACAAAGTGCAATCCAAGCTTCTTTTATCAGAATTGGCGACCGAAGACTGAATATCAAAGAGAAGAAACGCAATGACTCCGGAAATTCCAAGTTTTCTCGAGACTCCCTAAATGGCAATGGCAATGGCAATGGCAATGGCCATGACAATTTTAGGAATTTTACTTGGCGCAATGGACCTGCTAATTGATAAGAATTTTCTTTCTTTTTTCTTTTCCTTCTTTCTAATCATAAAAACATTCACTTATGTCATCTTGTTTTAAGATTATGAGATAGATTTTCAATTTTGTTTGTTCTACAAAAGCTTCACGGCTTTCTTTTAGAGTAATATGATTCAAATGCAGCAATTTTTGAATTTGTGAATGCTATTTTTATTTGTCAAACATCCATTAACCCCATGTTGAGGGTATAAATACATTTTATTACTCATTTTAATCCATTGATTTCTTATGATAGATATAATATTTGATTATAATTATAATTTTTTTATATTTCAATTGTCAAAATTAGGTATCTAAGATTCTATATTAGTGTTTTCAATTAATATTATAGAGGCTGTTTGTAAATTAATTATATTTAATAATATAAAACCATATCAAGATTAATTTTTATAGATTCAAATTCACAAGATTTGTAATGTTACAAGATTAATTTTTTTTTTATGTGGATATCTAGGCTTATGATACTTAAGCATATGAAAAAAAAAAGTTATAGCCATTTGTTATCATCTTTAATATTTGATATTAAAGTGGCAAATTGATGAATTCAAACATATTCAAGTCATGTTAGATTCAAGTTATTTTAGATTTAACAATTTTTATGTTCGACTTATTTAATTTATTTTTAGATTTTATGAAAGATACTATCTTTTTAGCATATTTTTCAAGTTTAAGCTTTTTCGAGTTCAAAATTTTCAAATGAGTTATTATCTTTATGATCAAATAGATTTTAATCAATTTTATATTTTAAAAAAGAATTTTGGATTTCGGATTCATTTAGTCACTTCTAATCATACTTCTAAATAGCTATTAAAATTCAATTTCTATTATAATTCTTAATTTTATTTAATTGATTTATATTAAATTACTTTCCTTAAAGTTTTTAATTAGATTTATAACTGCTATATAATCTATTAAACCAATCTTTACTTAAAAAATTTTTTTTTGCCACACATGTTTACTATTTTTTTTTATTAGAACTAGACCAAACTCTTTAAAAAGGATATAAATGCAATTAGAAATGCATATTACCTTATGTTTGACTTCTTTTCCCATGAAAACTCATCTAGTTTATATATAATATTTTGATAATGATTTATTATATTTATTATCACTTGATATAATTATATTTATAAATTAATTCATTATCACTAGATATAATTGTAAATTAATTATAATAAAATTTATTTCATGTACATATAAGATTTGCAGTATACTTATTCATGGATCAAATTGAATTAGATTTAGACTGAATCTAATTAGGATGTTAATAAATTTCGGACTTACTCGAGTTTGGTTTAATAACTTTATTTATTATCTAGACTTAAACTTTAAACGAAAAGAAAATGCTTTGGTGCATTCAAGTCTATCCAAACTTTAATTTTTTGAAATAAAAAATAAAAATAAAATTTAAATAAGTATCAAATATGACAAAATAGATAATTAACAAAATAAATTTTAAAAACAACTTTGTTAATTTAATTTGGTGTTTGAGTGAAATTTGGATACATGTAGGTATAGGGTATCAATATATACACATATTATTTAATTATCAATTTTTATAATATAATTAAAATTATATATATATATATATATATATAACTATTAGGTCAAGCCGAATCAAGTTTGAATTATCCTAAGCTTGATTCGTTTTCTAAACAAACCTTCAATTTAAATCCAAACTCATTTAACAGGTGTAATATTCATGTTTAAATCTCTCAAATTTTGAATAAAAATTTCAGACTCAAGGGAATAGCTTAACCATTAAATAGGTTTAATTTGCATTTAGAAGAAAAAAACTTAAAAACTAAATTATAATTAAAATTTACAATCTCAAATTATATTCTCAAAATATATCGACGGTTCAAAAGTGTCATGACTTTATCAATTAGGCTTTGATTTAATGGAAGGAGGACGTCTTAGAGCCTTAAGATCTTAAATTCAAACCTCATTGTATGTAGGTTTAGTTCTTTAATTGTGTTATAGTTTCTTAATTAATTTTTCAGTAATGATAACTTGATTTAATCTAAGGCAATAATTAGTTAATAAGTATTTTTATTGACGTTTAGATTTAGAAAAAGAAAATAATTTTTATACCCACCAATGCCTAGCAGTTCTAAAGATACGAGAATTCCAAATCCCCTTCCTGCAAGCAATCTGAAGAAATAGAAACTTCTTGATGAGAGAAATCATTGATGCTTAAATCCAAAATGCTTAAACCAAGCAACTGAATGAACTGATCATGTTTGAATTTATACTTCCAGAATTCATAGGTCTTCTCATCTGAATTTAGAACTATCATAAAAGCAAAAAGGACTTGGAATTGCAAGACCATATACGATTTTCTTACTAACAATTCATCAAATTAATTGGATTTCTTTATTAATTAAACTATTAAAGTCTAATCTAATCGATGCTGTGAGTTGGTATGTGCAGATAACATTGAAAAAGGCTATAGATTTCTGCTGGCAAGTGGAGGACCCTGCTTTGGTACCATAGCCAGGGACTGCTCAAAGGAATGCAATCTAAAAATAATTACCAATAACAAGTATTCCTTTATAGTGTATAGAAAAAAAAAGGAAAGTTGCAAAACTAGTACCTTTGGCATTGCGAACTAGTACTGTTTACTTGCTATCAGCTCCAATATATATAACAATTAAAACTGGTTTTACAAATTGGGGCAAAACTAAATGCAGCAGTGGACTATGGAACCATTCATGTTGTCAAAACAAGACATAAAGATAATCACCAAAATTGTCAAAACAATACTTTCAACCTTTGTATTTAGCAGTTGGCATTTCCTTGATGATAAGTTTATGGTTGAGTAGAGCGGATTAGGGGATCTCCAAGCACATAGAGGCGATATCCCCAGGAAGAAGCACCACAATGCATACTGCTGCGGATATTGCAAGCTTTGAAAAGATAATATCTGCTGATCTTGAATTATCTACAAACATTTACAATCTATAAAGCCTCATTTATCCGTCCACTGGTTAATATGTAAGGCTAGCTAATGAGTCTTTAAACTTAAGATTCTTCCTGAACCATTTCTGCTTCCTCCCTCCACGAAACAGGGCCCAAACCATCATAGTCTATTGATCCCTGCAGCGAAAACAAGCACCATAAATAAATATATAATAAGTGCAGGAGATAATACTTTATTGGAGTGTGTTAGGATTCAAACTTGGGAATGGAGAATAAAGGGAAGGTATTGATGCAAAAGTGTGAATTTGGGAGATTGTTAGGGCAAGGAAACTTTGCAAAAGTTTACTATGCAAGGAATATTGAAACCAACCAGAGTGTGGCGATTAAGGTTATTGACAAGCAGAAGGTTTTGAATGTAGGGATGATTGATCAAACCAAGAGGGAGATATCTGTTATGAGCCTGGTTAAACACCCTAATATCTTGGAGTTTTATGAGGTCATGGCTAGCAAAAGCAAGATTTACTGTGTTATGGAATATGCCAAAGGTGGTGAACTCTTCAAGAAGGTGTCAAAAGGAAAGCTGAGAGAAGGCATGGCAAGGAAGTATTTTCAACAACTGATCAGTGCTGTCGACTTTTGCCACAGCAGAGGTGTTTATCATCGGGATTTGAAGCCGGAAAACTTGCTCCTGGATGAAAATGGAATTCTCAAAGCATCGGATTTTGGTTTGAGTGCCCTTACTGAGTGTAAACATCAAGATGGGTTACTCCATGTAGCTCCTGAAGTTATAAACAGAAAGGGTTATGATGTTGCAACAGGATGTTAGACCAGCTCTCAAGGATATTGTATGAGCTTGGCAAGGTGAGCCGTTGCGACGACAACAACAGCTGCACTCATCCTAACTGTCTTAGTACTGAAGTGTCTCAAGCTTATTTGTCGAAAGATGTGTTCTTTTTTCTTGAATAACTGTAGCCAAATTTGGAATTTTTCGAAATCCACTTAAATGTTAGAATATTGACTCAAATCCCATAAGAGATTTGTTTGAGATTTGTTAAAAATTTATTTGAGATTTGTTAGATATTGCTTGATAGACAAAAAGACTTACAAAAAAAGAATTATAAGAAAAAAAAATTCTTAATAAGTAAGTTTAACTTGCAAGAGAAAAATTCTAAAAGTAAAGAGATTCTTAATAGGTAAGTTTAACTTACAGGAGAAGAATTCTAAGAGGAGATGGATTTTTAATGGGCAAATTTGTATGGTTACAAATATGTGAAGTCTCTACAGAGTTAAATATGAGAAAAAGATATAAGAGAGTTGTGGGGTTTTGTGGGATAGACATCTCGTAGGAGTATTGGGACTTTACGTCTTATAGATGTGTATGTTTATTTGTGAGTGGACTAGAGAAGACTGAGAGGGTACACATAGGTATGATGTATGAGAGCATATGAGTATGTGTTTGGTTGTGTTGAAATGGTGCACAAGAGTTTGGGTTTAGGTTTGTGTTTGTTTGAGTTGAGAATACTCTATAAGACTAGAAGATATTGAGAGTATCTTATGAGTATTAATTGTTAAGTGAGGTTGATGATTTGATATATGTTTGTAATTCTCTATAATTAGTGGATCTTATTTCTCATCCGTGGATGTAGGTCAGTTGGATCGAACCACGTTAAATTGTTGTCTCTTATATATTTGATTTATTGTTTGATTTTATTTTCGTTGGTGTGATTTGATTGGAGGTTTTTAACCCAACAAATGATATCAGAATTGTGATGTTCCCAACATTAAACGCCCGATTCCATTGCAAAATTTTCGCTACTTGGTGTTTAATTATTTTTATTAATGTTCGCTTAGTGGTTTCATTGAGCCATAGCTGGCATCCTACCGTGATGTCTTGTTTGAGTTGTGTTGAAACTTGAATAGGACATGCATTATGATTTATGGTCACTCAATTAGTGGTAAGATATTTGGTTCTATATTACACGATCATGTGGTTGTCAAAGGCTCTCGGCTTTGCGGTTAATGTCTGAAAAAGAATATGGCTCCAAAACATCCAGCTATGCTGCTCTTCTGTTTCAATCTCCAAAACGATCTGATTTATATGATTAATAGCATATTGCTGTCTTATAAAGTTTGTGTTTTTTCTATATTTTTTTAAAGTTATATCTGGCTATATAGTGTTAATAATGAATAAGTACATAAACTTAGGTATCCAAAAGCTATTAAGAAATCATATTCCTATAATTTCTTTTGTACCATAAATATTTTTTTTATATGATTTTTTTTAATTTTAAAAACCTTAGCACATTTAATAATTTATGGATACCCAAATTAAGGGAAAAAAACCTAGATTTTTAATAAAAGATTGAAGCAAGAATACTGAGATTCATTTAATCAAAGAACTTATAAAATAGTATTTGAATTTGGAGCAAGTTTCTATACCAAGAGTAATGCGTCAAAAAAATTTTTAGTTTGAATTGGAAATTATGGGTACTTTTTTTTTTTTTTCTTTTGATCAAAAGTGATACTTTGTTCAAATCATTTTAGCATCAGTTTTTTTTTGCTAAAAGGACAAAATCTATTTGCCTAAAACCCCGAACTTTAATATTGTCAATAACAGGTTTAATCTTCCACAATTTCAAGTTTTAAAAAAAAAATCATATTTCAATTCACTCCAAATGAAATAAATATTCACAATAAATATTTGAACAATTTCAATGGTAAGTCAAAAATTGTTAGGAAAATCAATAAAGAAATGATCCCACACACACACACAAAAAAAAAAAGAAATTTTGATACAGGAATTTCCTCTAAAGTTTCCTTCATCAGAAAGGAATCCTAGATAGTGAACAACCAAACAAGACTAGGATTTCCAATCCATACAGTGTTTTTTTTTTCTTTTTCTATAAATACCCACCCTCTATTTGGCCTTCCATACAATATTTCATCTCTGATTTTTTCACTGATTGGTTTCCTCTGTTTTCTGTTCCGTTCTCTTCCCTGCTTTTATCTTGATGGCTGCGGCAAAGGCATGTCCATTGCCATCCTACACGCCACAAGAAGTGGCTGCTGTCTTCGTGGACCGGTACTACTTTCTTCTCCGTGATTTTCCAGGAGAGCTTCACAAGTTTTATCTGGATTCAAGCATGGTGAGTCGGCTGGGACCTGATGGTGTCATGATTAGCTTCACAACGATGGAAGAAATCAGGAAACATGTTCTTTCTTCCTTGGATTGCAAGGAATATGAAATTCTTTCTTCTGATGCACAATTTACAGCAAATGAGGGGGTGTTTGTTGTGGTTATCGGTTGTTTCACTACAAAGAATGATGAGATCAGAAAGTTCAATCAATCCTTTGTCCTCACCCCAATGGAAAGAGTCAATGGTTACTTTGTCTCAAATGACATTCTGAGATTTCTTGATAAGCAAGAATCAAAAGTTGTTCATACCGAAAGTATCCCAACTGCTGTTTCAACTTCAACATCGGATGATGAGCCAACCAATGCTGTTCCTAAGAAGAGTTTTCTGTCGGTGGTGCCTGCACAAAATGAAAACAATGCTCCCTTTAAGGCACCCCCGATGAGAAAATCAATTAACACAGCACCTCAAGAGTCCAATTTTGACAGAAAAAGTGGCTTGGAAGAGAAGAAGAACACCAGAATTGTGGACAATGTTGAGGGAACATCTATATTTGTAGGTAACTTGGCGACGGATTCAAAGCCTGAAGAACTCTATGAGGCTTTCAAGAGTTTTGGACCAATTAAACGTAATGGAGTTCAAATTAGAACTGATAAAGAGCACAGATGGTATGCTTTCATTCAATTTGAGTCTTCTTGTTCTGCACAAATTGCAATCCAAGCTTCTTTTATCAGAATTGCTGACCGAAGATTGATTATCAAAGAGAAGAAAAGCAATGACTCTGGAAATCCCAAGTTTTCTCGAGACTCCATGAATGGCAATGGCAATTGCAATGGCCAGGACAATTTCAGGAGTGGTAGCAATTTTACCAGGCACAATGGACCTGCTAATTGATAAGAATTTTCTTTCTTTTTTTTTTTTCTTCTTTATAATCACAAAAACATTCACTTATGTCACCTTGTTTTAAGATTATGAGATAAATTTTCAGTTTTGTTTGTTCTACAGAAACTTCATGGCTTTCTTTTAGAGTAGTATGATTCAAATGCAGCAATTTTTGAATTTGTGAATGTTACTTTTATTTGTCAAACATCCATTAACTCCATGTTTTCAGTATAAATAAATAATAAGAAATTCCAGCATGATACCCCTAGCCTAATTCCAGCAATGAAAAACCAAAGGAATTCTGTAATTTTTATTACTTGTTTTAATCTATTAATTTCTTATAATAGATGTAATATCTAATTATGATTATAATTTTTTTACATTATTAATTTTGGAAAAGGTTTTCCATTATATTCCAATTGTCAAAATTAGGCATCTAAGATTCTGGATTAGTGTTTCCAATTAACATTATAGAGGCTGCTTGTAAAGTAATTATATTTAATAATATAAAACTATATCAAGATTAATTTTATAGATTCAAATTTACAAGATTTGAAATGTCAATGGTACATATTGAAAATTGAATCTTGTGTGAAATTATTTTCCATATATATAATTTTTTTTCCATCCAAAAAAAAAAAATTGAACCACATATTTCCAAATTGAGAATTGTAAACTATTGTCCTTAGAATATTTCCTTAAAAACAATGCTTCAAATCTTATGTGAGTGTTTTTATTCTATAGATGAAAGTTTATTGGTCTTTGTATGAAAAAGGGTGATTTTATTTTAGATGACTTTCATTTTGTAGGAGTGCTAAAAATTGTAAAATGTGCTTTTTTTTTCTTTACAAGTTCTTATAAGTCTTGAAGTTCATGTTTTTTTTTTTTTTTCTTATAAATTATGCTCAACCATTTGATTCAAGACTATATTAATAAATATAGAAATAGGTTGCATCGTCGAACCAATGAAATTTGTGACATTTTAATTTTATTGAGATATTTTAATGATTTAATTTTGTTAAATTACATTTTACAAATTTTTTTTTGAGATAGATTATTCACAAAATCATGATGAAAACAAAATAAAATAAAATCCCTTGTTACAAGACCACCTCCATTTTGGTTAAGTTATTCATTTGTCCTTTTTTTTTTTAACTTGAAAGCTTAGGTGAAGGAAATTATTCTATTTCAAGTCCAAATTAAGCTATTCATGCGACTGAAAGTGAATGTATAAATGAATAGAGTTTTCAATGAATTATTCATAAATATGTTCGATTTCTATTTATTTATATTCTTTTATTAAATTTCACAAGCGATTTTAAATAATACTTTTATGTTCGTTTATTAAACAAACCAAATATGAATAAAAATCTGTTTGGTTCATTTGTATTTATAAACAAGCTCGTTTAAAATTTGTTTAAAGCTTATACATTTTATTGTTCATTTGTTATTCGTTTATAATAATATTATCAAAATTGCGTTTTTATCCTTTACCCTAATCTTATTTTAAGATTAGATTATATTTGTTCGGATTTATTTATATTCATTTATGTTCGTTTATATATGTTCATAAACATATTTATTTAATGTTTACAAACAAACTTATTTAACTTAATTAAACTAAATACAAGTCGAATGCAACTATCTTACCATCTAAACGAATGAGTTCAAATGAATAGAACAATTTTCTTACTGAACAAAACCTGAACTTGAATACCTTTAAAAATAAACAAATAAACTACTAACATACATTCAATTGTTTATATTTAGTTTGTTTACTGTCTTGAAAGGGCTCAAATGACTTTCTCCACTCAATACTTAATAACAATAACAACACTAATTTTTGTTATATATATGTACTAACTTTTTATTCTTTGCATAAAGGATATAATTAAAAATAAAAACTCAACTATTATTTGAAAAATTTTATAATAATTATATAAAAGATATTACCATCCATTTAAAGTGGCAAATTGGTGAGTTTGACAAATTCGAGTCATATTAGATTCAAGTTATTTTGGGTTTTAATATTTTTAGGTTCCAATTAATCAAGTTATTTTTAGATTTTATGAAAGATATTATTTTTTCAGCATACTTTATAAGTTTGAGTTTTTTCGAGTTCAAATTATTTTGAGTGAATTTTTTACTTTTATAGCCAAATCAAGTTCAATCAAATTTATATTTTTTGAAAGAATTTGTAACTCGGATCCATTTTGTCACTTCTAATCATATTTCTAAATAGCTATTAAAAATCAATTTCTATTATAATTCATAATTTTATTTAATTGATTTATATTAAATTACTTTCCTCAAAGTTTTTTATTAGATTAATAACTGCTATCTAATCTATTAAACCAATCTTTACTTTCTAAAAAAAAATTTGTTAAACATGTTTATGTTTTTTTATTATTAATTAGATATAATTATAAATTAATAGTAATAAAATTTATTTCATATACATACAAGGTTTGCATTATATATTTATTCATGAGTCGAATCGGACCAAAATTTAATCATATTTAATTAAGATATTAATAAATTTCAAACTTGCTCAAGTTCAGTCCAACAATTTTATTTACCGGCCAAACTCAAACTTTAAATGAAAAAAAGTTACTTAGGTGCGTTCAAGCCTATCCAAATTTTAATTTTTTTAATTAAAAAATAAAAATAAATTTTAAATAAATATCAAATATGATAAAATAAATAATTAACAAAATAAACCTAAAAACGACTTTGTTAATTTAATTTGGTGCTAGAGTGAGATTTGGATACATGTAGACATAAGGTACTAATGTATACACATATATTATTTAATTAATTAATTATTTTTATATAATATAATTAAAAATATAAATATATATAATCATTGGGCCAAAAAAGTTAAAGTTTGAACCTTAAATGTTATGTCCTAAGCTTGACCCATATTTTGAATAGACCTTTAATTTAGGTTTAGATCCATTTAACGGATCTAATATTTATATATAAATCTCTCAAATTTTAGATAAATTTTTTAGACTCAAGTGAATAGCTTAACCTTTAAATAGTTTTAATTTACATAGAAAAATAACTTATAAAATAAATTATATTTAAAACCTACACTTTTAAATTATATTCTCAAAATATATCATTGACGATTCAAAAAGATCTTGGCTTTGCTAATTAGGCTTTTATTTAGTGGAAGAAAGAGGTCCTAGAACCTTAAAATCTTAAGTTTAAGTCTCATTGTACGTAGATTTAGTCCTTTAGTTATGTTATAGTTTGTTAATGGATTTTTCAATAATGTTAACTTGATTTAATGTAAGGTAATAATTAGTTAATAAGTATTTTTTATTGATGTTTAGATTTAGAAAAAGAAAATAATTTTTACTCCCCACCATTGCCTAGAAGTTCTAAAGATACGAGAATTCCAAATCCCCTTCTTGTACGTACTTCTAAAGATATATATAGGAGAATTCTCTCCAATTGTAGAAATCCCCTTCTTGCGAGCAATCTGAAGAAGTAGAAACCAAATAAGATTAGGAATGGAACAGATCTTCTATATAAATGTAAAACAATCTGACTTGACTTGGTATTTCTATTGGAACTTACATATATTATAAGCTCAGCACTCTGCTTTCTTTACATTTGATTTGGTTTTTTTTTTTTATTGTTTTTCACCGATGTTGATGGCTGCATTGACCCGAGAAGAAGCTGCTAAAGCCTTTGTGGAGGGCTACTACTCCCACCTCTGACAATATCCAGGAGATGCTTACAAGTTTTATAAGGATTCAAGCACATTACGTAGGCTAGGACCCGATGGAGTCTTGAACCGTTGGACAATCTTGGAAGCCATTGATAATCATGTTGTCTCTTGCTTCGATTTCTTTGATTGCAAGAAGTTTGATCTTCTCTCTATTGATGCTTAATTATCTATAGGCCTTGGAGTTCATGTTTTGGTCATTGGTAGCGTGACTATGGACGATACTACTAAGAGGAAGTTCACGCAATCATTCGTCTTTGCCCCTATGCGTAAACCCAATGTTTTTCTAAGTTCGACTGATGTTTCTTTTTTTATTTTGACTGATGTTTTGAGGCTTCCTGATGATGAAGAAACGTCAAACACTTGTGTCCAAAGAATTAATCCTGTGCCTGTTCAAGAAGTTCAGAAGATTATTCCTGAAAACTCGAAGATTTGTGTTGAAGGAGTTGATTCGATTGCTGGTCCAAATCTAGATGTTGTGACAGTAGATATTGTATCCAATGAGAAAGTTCAGAGCAGGATGCTACCTCATCAACTTCTGTCAAAGGAGTTGGTTCAATTCCTGGTCCAAGTCTGATTCTATGCCAACTGATATTGCCCCTTACGAGGCTTTTCAAGAAGTTCTAAAGGATGATACTGCTGTGGTAACTTGTGTCAAAGGGGTTGATTCAATTGTTGTTCCAAGCTCAGATCCTATGCCAGCTGATGATATTGCCCCTAACAATGATATTGCTGCTCCCAAAAAGTCTTTTCTAAATGTCGTGAATGCATTGAATGGGAATAATGCTCCATTTAAGGCTCCTCCAACGAGGAAATCTGCTCCAACAACGGCTAAGGAGTCTAAGGGAAAGTCCATATTTGTTGGGAACTTGGCCATGGGTGTAAACGTTGAAGAACTTCACTTGGGTTTTAAGAAATTCGGACCTATTAAACAAAATGGGATTAAAACTCTATCTGATCATATGAAAAACAGATGCTTTGCCTTCATTGAATTCGAGTCTTCGAGTTCTGCACAAAGTGCCATCCAAGCTGCTTCTTCTATCACAATTGGCAACCGAAAAGTTCATATCGAAGAGAAGAAAACTGGCTATACTAACTACGGAGATAGCAAGTTTCCACCAGCCTTAAGCCTTGGCAATGGTTTATTCACCAGGCACAATGGACCCGTAAATTGATCAAATCTTTTTCTTCTTTTTTTTTTTTTTCATTTAAGAATGATTATTATAAGGAACATATTTTCTCTCTTGTCAGGCCAAAAGGCTCCAATTTTATCACATCAGCGGAAGTGAAATCAAACAGTCAATCAAACACATAAGACACAATAATTTAACGTGATTTGATCCAACCAACCTACGTCCATGGATGAAAAATAAGATCCACTAGTTATAGAGAATTACAAACATATATCAAAATGTATCAACCACTCAACAATCAATACCCATAAACCTTTCCAATCTCCTCTAGTCCTATGGACCTTTTCAGTTTCTTATGGTCCACTCACAAACAAACATATACACTCATAAGACGTAAAGCTTCGGTACTCCTATGAGGTGTCTATCCATAAAACCCTATAACTCTCTTGCATCTTTTTTCTCATGCCTAATCTTGTAGATAATTCACCTATTTATAACCATACAAACTTACCTATTAAGAATCACTTTTCTTTTAGAATTCTTTTTCTGTAAGTCAAACTTGCCTATGAAGAACCCTTTCCTCTTATAATTCTTCTCTTGCAAATCAAACTTACCTATTAAGAATCCTCTTTCTCTTAGAATTCTTCTTTTGCAAAGTCTTCTTATCCATCAAGTAATATCTAGCCAATCTCAAATAAATCTGTTATGAGATTTGAGTTATTATTCTTAACAATATCTACTTTGACTCAAATTTTTTTAAATTATCTGTCTTCATGCTAGACATGCTTGGCTCTACCTACAATAAAAGTCTCATAATAATCTTTTCTTATGTGTCTTCATGCTTCACGCAAATCGATCCTCAAAATACGAACTCGATCTTCTTTCTTAAATCGAGCTCCTCTAAACTTGCCTTTTCTCATGTCTCGAACCATGCTCTGATACCACTTGTTAGGGGTCATCACAGCTTAATACCACTTGTTAGGCCAAAAAACCCAATCTAATCACACTAGTGGAAGTGAAATCAAACAATCAATTAAACACAAAAGAGATAATAATTTAATATGGTTTGGTCTAATTGACTTACATTTACGGATGAAAAATAAGATCTACTAGTTGTAAAAAATTACAAACATACATAAAAAAATAGCAACCACTCAACAATCAATACCCATAAACCCTCTTAATCTCTTCTAGTCCTATAAAGTATTCTCAACCCAAACAAATACATATCTATATGCACCCTTTCAACACAACCAAACACATACCCATACGCACCCATATATCACATCTATGTGAACCTTCTCAGTCTCTTCAAGTACATTCACAAACAAACATACCTATAAGACATAAAGTCCTAGTACTCCTATGGGGTACCTATCCTACAAAACCCTACAACTCTTTTATATCTTTTTCTCATAACTCATCATGTAGAGACTTCACTTATTTATAACCATACAAACTTGCCTATTAAGAATCTTTTTCCTCTTAGAATTCTTTTCTTGCAAGTCAAACTTGCCTATTAAGAATTATTTTTCTCTTATAATTTTTCTCTTACAAGTCAAACCTACATATTAAGAATCCTCTTTCTCTTAGAATTCTTCTTTTACTAGTCTTTTTGTCCATCAAGTAATATCTGACCAATCTCAAACAAATCTTTTATGATATTTAAGTCATTATTCCTAATGTCTCTTTCGTTTCAAAAGAAGGCTATTGACTTTGTTTACATTGTTTAATTAGACTCAATTTCTGTTGAATTAAATTGCTGGAATTGATCTTATCTATGGTGGGATTATCATCAATTGCACTAACCTTTTTAATTTGTTATTGTTGTTTTATTTGTCAAAGTTCCCTAAAATTCTTCTTCTTTTATGGTTTTTATTTATTTATTTATTTTTGTTGCTAATGAAGGATTAGAATTAAAAAATAATAGAAGTAAGGTGAGACACGAGACTTCATTAGACAATTTTTTTTTTATAGACTATAATATTGTTTCATTAATCATCTTTTAAGCTAATTCTCAAACTTGTATAATGATATTTTCATAGTTAGAGTAAAAAAAGTTGACATGAACTGAAAAATCCTTCCAACCCTATTTGATAAAAAAAGAAAAAAAAAGTTACCAACCCAAACTTATCTAATCTAAATCTGAATTAATATGAATTTGAATGATCCAAATTCAAACGATGTAAAATAATATCAAATTAAATTGATTTATATGAGAGCTATTGTATTATCTTCTTTACAGGTTATCCAATACTCTAAGAAACTGATTAGTTTAAGTTCTTTTACCTTATTTGAGACGAATCTCTCAAACAATTACCTGCATAGGCACTGGCATATCGATGACAAATTTTTATTCATATTAGAGTACTTGCTGATACAAAAGTCCTTTCTGTTCTTTCTTCATGGTAGCACTTGGAGGTTAAACTCTTCAACCCTTTTTTTTAATATAAGACATGATTTTTGTCAAATTTATGATTTTGACTATGTGAAGAAGACAAATGTTCTTTCATTTACGAGATATCAGAACAAAACCAAACAGGCCGATGAGACAAATGTGGTCTAAATCGAGGGGCTAAAAGGATAAATTGAAAATTCGAAAGGTCTTATATACTAATTCTATGTATGTATGAGTTTATCCTTAAATATATAATTTTTAAAGATAAATTCAATGCAATCACATCTTCATTTCATGTTTTATAAATTAAAAAAATTAACACTAGAACATTTTGTTCAGTGCATGATCTTTTTTTTTGAAGAATAAATTTCAAATTTCTCTTTGTTCAAATTAAAAAAAGAAAATCGAATTATTTAATCTAAGTATATAGATAATTTCATGTTTTGAAAGTTCTAAGTTTTTATTAGAATATTGTGTCATGCATTATTTTTCAACCCTTTCTAGAGACAGGTAACGCCACTACGCCTTTGTTGAGTTCTAGAAATAGCCAAAAGTCAAAGAATCACAGCTTTGATGCAAAGTTAAAAATTAATAAAAACAAAGAAAACCCTTTGCCAAAAAAATTTGGAATTGAAAGAGAAAGCTTGGAGCTCTCTCAAGAAATTACATTTGTTGCTTTATTTTTTTTTATCTAATTGATTATCCGAATATGTATTCCTCATTTAATGATGTAAAGCATGGTGGCATGGTATGATTTATCTGAAAACACTGGAAGCAATCATGAGCCCACATGTCCATATAATGTACAAATTATAAAAAGTGAAATACCCACGGAATATAAATATATATAAAACAATACAAAAAAAATTTGTTCTCGCCACTGTCACATTCCCATGATCATGAAGACAAACGAATTGAAAGGAGATGTAATCTGAATTCCACTTGCCAAAGCATCATTCATGCCATTAACTTCCAAATCTGATTTGACATTCCCTACCCCTTCCATCCTTCTTATCTCAATTCTTGTTTTAAGTTTGCAAGCCTTAACTACCGTTCTTGCCATCCTCATTTTATATAAACATTTACGAAGTAAATAAATTTTAGCTGAATTCGAAATTTTGATTAAATTTTATTTGATTCGATTTGATTAAAAAATTTATTTAAATTTTTTTTAGTTCAAAGTGATCTGACCTGAACTAGTCCAATTGTGACCTTTACCTATGTGGAATCACTTGGACCGACTTAATTTAAGTAACATAGATTAGGTGGAGTTTAAGAGAATTGCAGCAGGTAAAGTCGTTTGTCTTGTTCTAATTGATCCTTCATTTGAGTTTTATTTGAAGCCTGTCTAATAGAGTTAATTCCTAACATTTATGGCTGGAGCATGTCCTCACTTATGCCTAGCAGGACCATTTTCGGTTCAGATGATAATTGTATGTACCTTGAGCATATAAATGACTCTCTGATGTAAATTTTGGTACAGTTCTGTTTTTTTTTTTTTCTCTTCTCTCCAACATTTATGGGCATTGGGCAACTCATGAAAGTTGACCACTTGGGCCTGGAGCAAACAGCACCTGTCTGGTGGGGACATGCTGCGATGGATGATTTTGGGAGTAACTCAATGGTGTTAGACTGTTAGCTTTAGCTTTACTAATTGATTCCTAGATTCCATAATATCCATTTTGATGCCTTTACACTAATCAACAGATTCCTTAACTTTCATGCAAATTCTTCATGTCCAAATTAACCAACCCCACGTTTATAGCCAAACAATAGCCCTTGCCTTGCTGGAAGAGGTTTTGGAATCTAGCAGTTCCTTATTCCTACAAGTTTACGTATACCTGTATCTTATTTTCATTTTTTTTTTGTGGGATTGTTAATACAAATGAAAATTATTCTTGAAATTTATGTTTACCTATATTTTGTAATTTCGAATCATATTCATGCTTATATGTATCTTGTCATTGTGATCGAGTATCAGGTCAATTCGATTTTTTTTTTTTTCAATCTCAATTTATAGCATAATTAATCTGGATAAAAATAATGTCAATATTGTGATATATCTCTTTCACTGAGAACTTAATTCTTTGTCCACAATCAATCTCAAGTACTCTAATACAAGATAAGATATTTAGGTTGGGGTTACACTCATCAAGATTCTTGAAGATTTTCCAATCTCAATCAAATTCTAGACTGTTCAAATTTTCATTGGCTACGTTCTTCTTTTGTAACCATAAGTTGTGTACATGACCTCCAGTTCAATGACAGATCATTTTAGTACAGTAAGCCCTTCAGAAGGTAGCTTTAACAAAGAAAAAGAAGGCCTAAAAGTGAGGTAAATTTCACATGATATGTGTCAAAGCATAAAAGAAAAGAAAAAAAGAAAGTGGTGAAAGATACTAATAACTTGAATAAGGATAATACTGTTAACACTCCTTTTTTCTTTCTCTTTTACTTGGGGCTAGAGAATCACATATTATTAATAGTAAATTTTATGTAGATAATAATTTTTAGTCTTTTTTTTAATATCTGAAATAAATTTAAAATTCGTATTTTATCAACAAATTATATAACCGTCGATATAATAATTTTTAATTTAATTGTCATTTCAGATTAAAAAATAAAAAAAATAGTGTCAATCATAAATATCTGATTAACTTTTGATTAAGAAAAAAATTAAAAATCTTCTGATTCCCCAAAGCTAAGCGACTAGTGATAGATAATAAGAATTGAACTGATTTGCAGGCTAGTTGTACTTTCATTCACATCACCTTTCACTAACCAAAGGTAAAAGAAAGAGCTTTGTAACTCATAATGCAAAGAAGCTAAAAGACCTTTCTCTGCTTCAGAAGAACCATTCAAAGTCCCACAATTTAGAGTTGTGGGTCCATAAGTCACATTTTTCTATTGTTTTCTTCTAATTGTGCCATCATTTGAACTGCAATATCTTTCATCCTTTTCTCTAAAGCTAGTCCGGATTCAATGATACCGTATGATTAAGGTATAAGCAATGTTTCGAAGACTAATCAATGTTAATTTGCTCACTTAGTCATTCATTAAAAGTTATTAATAAAGCACTTAAAATTTATTCTATTACCTAACATTTGATCCGATGATTATTTCATTTATTTATTTATATCCCTTATTTTAAATGAAAAATATATATTTTTTCCTCATTACAAGGTGTAAAAAGATGCATGATTACACAAGTGGAGAAGATGGGGTCCAAAAATGTCATGTTTTGAGAAATCCAACCCCTTTATTTCACCATTAACATTGCTTTCTCTCAAGTATGATAGGGATATTCAATAAAATTGTGAGACAAATGGTTGATAAGTTAGACTAAACTATTAAGTGCTTTAGCTGAGGGGACTAGATAGAGATATTCAACTATTGCAGTGTTTTTGCTTTAAAAAATCAAAACTTCCTTAGATGGTAGGTTTTTGGCAAACTTTTTTGCCCTACACAAAACAATTACTGCTTTATAATAGTTATATATATATATTTATAATCCCACTAGTAGATTTATTCTTTTGTGCTTGTCATAATCAAAATTCAACATCATCAATCCATATAATTCCACACTGAATGATGCTTTGAGATTTCACGAGTTAAAAAGTAAAATTTTTTTTGATATTTAAATTCTGATCACTGAAATTAAAAATTTAAATATTTTAAAAATAAATCACGAGATTGTTGACAAGAAAGTAAGATCTTAGTTAAACCTAAAATCTCATATTTGAAGGGAAAAAAAAAGAAAAAAAAAAAGCTTTAATGCTTTTGAGTTGTTGTTACCTTATATATGATTGATATTTCCTTAGTGGAGGGATGCCAAACTTTTGGTCCCATATTTGTCTAATTAAGATTTAATAGAAAGCAACAATTCATGATTGCACTATCTGCCATTATGTTAAAATGTCTGAATACTCGGATTGTCCAATTATTCACTTAAAAGTTACTAATAAAATATCTATGAATTTGCAATTATTATTTGGATTTTGTGAACGAGACACTCTTTAGAATTATTATATAAAGCAATATCTTCACTCAATGCATTAAAATTTTTTATGAAATTATTAAGTGTAGCAATTAATGTAAAATTATTACTATAAAGAGTGCTCTAAGGCAGAGATGGATCTACGTAGAAGCACCACTGAGTTCATAAAATTTTTTGGGTTTATTATAAAAAATAACAAAAGTTTTGAAATTTTAAAATTTTACCCAAATAGATAATCTTTGTGATCATATTTGCCCCCACTAAATTAAGGTTCATACATGAAAATTTTCATTGTTTATCTAATAATTGAATATTAACACTTTGAGTTCTAAGCAATATCATTATAATATATATACTTATATATATTTTTGAGTTTGTAAAAAATAAAATAAATTACTTTTAGAGAGTTTGAAATTGCTAAACTTCTAATTTTTCATAATAATTTGTTTAGATTGATGCAAGCTGATCTTATAGTGATAATGAGATATGGAGTTTGCACTACTTAAATGATTTAACCACTTTTTAACACAAAAAAAAAATAAAATAAAATAAATAATCATCTTCATTCTTCTTTTCATTGAATGTGAGAAAAGAATAATTTTTTTATTTTTCAAATTATAATGAATAAAAATCAAGTATATTTGTTTATTAAAAGTAAATGAAAAACTAAACATATTAAAAGTAAATAATAAAATTGGACATGTTAATTTTTATTTCATTTTTTCACATATTGTATTTATTTTTAAGAATTTTGTAAGTAAAATTTTATTAAATGAATATATCTATATCTATATATATATATATATATGTATTTATTATGATAAAAAATTTATCTAAATAGTGTTTAGGCTATATTCATAAAAAAAAATCATATAATTAATTATGCAAATATTATTTATATTGCAAAACAAAGTTTTTTTCATTTACAAAAAAATATTATACGCGTTAATTTTATTTATAATTTTTAAAATTAATTTGTATTTCAATAAAAAAAATTTAAATTAACTTAAAATATTTACCTCGCTAATCATAAATCTTTGCTCCGTCCCTGCTCTAAGGTCACCTAATTTGCAAAATCTGTATTACTTTTATAATAATTTATGTGTAGTCGCTTGGTGGAAATATCAGACAAAATAGCCTTACCCTTATATACAGGGCTGGGAACAGGAACTGATCTATTCCTGTTGCTGAAGACAGGCTATTGTTTTCAATTACTGTCAAGCTTTTGTGGAAGTAGATGAGGCATTGAATACAAAAGAAAGTACAATGTCCGGGGCAGTGAGGGCATTGGTCTCGTGAAGTTGCCACCCTCAAATTTAATTGTCTTACAATTTCTGCCAAATAGGGCCCCTGGATAAGTCATGCCCCAAATGATAATGCATATGTTTTTGCTCCTCCTGCTTGAATCCTTTCCCTTGGAAACAAGGTAAAATACAAACAGGTTCTTCTATTTGGTTTAAAAAAGAAGGGGAAGAAACCATGTGCTGAGTTGGAATTTGAAATTGGATCAGCCTATTAACCATCTGCAAGAACCAGGTAGATCAACCAACTATGACAGCTAAGTTTACTGACTAATTGCTTGGAATTTGGTGCAATAAAAACTTAGAAAAGGGATATTTCAGATCCTTAAATGGTGGAGAAAAGTATAATAAAAATTTGACACTAGTGGCCTCCCATTCTCAATCCAAACCTGATGTAATTAATCAGCATGTAATTGCTGATTAGTGACCAGAATTTCCTTTTTTTTTTTTATTTGGAGAAAGCAGATTGGAGCTTTGTTTTTGCTTTCAGCAGAAAGTCATACAAGTTTGAATTTCCTTTTGTTACTATTGAAAGAAAATTTTTAGAATTCGAAATTATTAAAATTTAAATTTAATAATTTAATCAAAATTAAAAATTTAATATTTTACCAATAAATAGTGATTGGCCAGAAAATTAACCAAACCATGGTGTGAAACCAGGATTGTAGCTTTATTCGGAAATCAAAATCATGTTTAGTCAAAGTACGTAACCATTGGCACTTAGGAAGAGGATTTCAAGAACGTGGCATTAACTTCAAAGGAGGAATATATATATTTTGGAAGTCTTAAATATGACTTTATAAATTATTAAAAGGAAAGTCAACTCTACACGTTGTTTTAATTTGTTCTTCGTCAATGTCTCCCTCCAATTTCTTTCAAAATTGGCAACACGTTTCCAACTTGCCACAATAACAACCACCACTTCCCCATATTTCAAACCCTTTCTAATTGCAGTTTGAACCATTGTTAGCTCCAATCCTTACTCATATTTTAAAGAATTATATTCTATACACCATCATTAATTTTGTGGATATAATTTAAAAACTTTGTCGACAATTTATGAGATATTTTTTATTAAAAATTTTTAATTTATTGTTAATCAAAAATGAAAAAGAAAAAGAAAAGCCATCACCTTAATTAAAACAAAGAAAGAAAGCAAACTAAATTTGTTAATCATGGGTGTATGTTCCAATTCTAGACAAATACTAAAAGGAATCAAACCAAAATATTTGGTGGGTTCATGTTCCGTATCCATATCCATATCGATATACACACATATATATATATATATTCTTAAAGTTTTTAGTTTAGTGATTAAAGATGCTTGAGAGAATATCAAAAGTTTGATTTCGAATCAGATATCTTTTTATTATCTTTATTTGTATTAAGATTTTATTTTCATATATATGTAAAAAAAAATATATATGTTGTCATAGTAAAATTTTAATTTTATAAATAAAATTAAAATTTTTTTAAAATTAGTAATTTTTATATGAGTCATGAATGAAATAATTTTTATATATATTGGTAGCTTTCATTGAAGAAAAAGCATTAAAACAACGTTAGAAAAGCCAGCCGTTTTCACATTACAAAGTAATAAAATTCAATTTGCTGAGTTAATTAGTAATTAAATCGGAAAAAAAAATGGGGAACAGTTGTAATTCGCTTCGCTTTCTTATTCTGACCAAAACCATTAATGAGGAGCCTACCTTCGTGGTTAGTCGCAATATTTATTATTTTTTACGTTGCCTATGATTCTTCCTTTCTTTTTTGTTTTTTCTTTTAATTTTTTCCGATCTTTTTATATATAAAAATAAATAAATATTAAGTATGAATGAACCTGTCATGGTTCACACTAAAAAATGTCTCAAAAATCAAAAGAATCGTAATTTATTTCGTCTTCAAATTAATTCTCAGATACTTTTCCTACATAAAAAGATCCCTTCTTCTCACTTTTGCTCTATAGAATCTCTTCTCTTTTCTCCACTAATCATCTTTTTTCCATCAAATTTCCCAAAAAAATTTAAATTTCTAAACTTTTTTTCTCTTTTTTTTTTTTTTTGTTAAGCTTTCTTTGGGTATTTGTTTATTTATAGATATAAAACCATACTCTTTGCTGCTCATCTGTTAACAAAGTTTGTTTCTTTTCAAGTTCCATGGTCATGGAACGTCACCCACGACCCAATAGTTTCCTAACTCGCCTCAACTCGGCCGTAGCTAAAAGTCGGGTCGGGAAACGTTTCAAACTCGCTGAACGGAACTCGACTTTCACAACGGAGTTACGTGCCGGCACAGCCACTTTTCTTACCATGGCTTACATCTTAGCCGTCAACGCTTCTATCCTCACCGACTCCGGAGGTCCCTGCAGCGTCTCAGATTGCGTTCCTCTATGTTCTGACCCTTCTGTTCCATTATCCAACTGCACTGGGTCAAATCTCCGAGTCATCCAGCCTGACGTGTCATGCAAGTTCGACCCGGTCAACCCGGGCTACGCTTCATGTTTGGAGAAAGTACGTAAAGATCTCATAGTAGCTACCGTTGCTTCTTCTCTTATTGGTTGCCTAATTATGGGTGCTTTCGCCAATTTGCCCCTGGCTTTGGCTCCAGGTATGGGGACAAATGCGTATTTTGCCTATACCGTAGTCGGGTTTCACGGGTCGGGTAATGTCCCTTATAAAAGTGCTTTAGCGGCAGTTTTTATAGAAGGGTTGATCTTTTTGTTCATTTCAGCTATTGGATTCCGGGCCAAGTTAGCTAAGTTGGTTCCTAAACCGGTTCGCATCAGTTCTTCTGCGGGTATCGGGCTTTTCCTCGCGTTTATCGGGTTACAAAATAACCAAGGACTTGGGTTAATCGGGTATAACCCATCGACCCTTGTAACTCTCGGAGGGTGCCCAAGTTCGTCGCGGATTTCAGTTGCCCCAGTTTTAGCGGCGGCTAATGGAACCGTTAGCTTATTGCCAGGTGGTACAGTCTCGGGTGATATTTATTGTCTACGTGACAGAATGGAAAGTCCCACACTATGGCTTGGAATTGTGGGCTTTGTGATTATAGCTTATTGCTTGGTGAAAAATATTAAGGGTGCTATGATTTATGGTATAGTATTTGTAACGGCGGTTTCTTGGTTTCGTCACACAAAAGTGACGGCTTTTCCTAACACGGACGCCGGTGATACTGCTTATGAGTATTTCAAGAAAGTTGTTGATGTCCATGCAATTGAAAGTACAGCTGGGGCGTTGAGCTTTAATACTATAGGTAAAGGTTACTTTTGGGAGGCTTTGGTCACGTTTTTATATGTTGACATATTGGATACAACAGGTACATTATATTCAATGGCTCGATTCGCCGGCTTTACTGATGAAAATGGTGATTTTGAGGGCCAATATTTTGCTTTCATGTCAGATGCCATGTCAATTGTTGTGGGATCATTGCTCGGGACATCACCAGTGACGGCGTTCATCGAATCGTCGACAGGAATACGAGAAGGGGGACGAACAGGGTTAACGGCATTAACCGTGGCAGGGTATTTTTTCCTAGCATTTTTCTTCACCCCGCTTTTGGCGTCTATACCGGCATGGGCGGTGGGACCGCCGCTGATCCTGGTGGGAGTGTTGATGATGAGAGCAGTGGTGGAAATTGAGTGGGATGATATGAGGCAGGCAATCCCTGCTTTTGTGACATTGATTTTGATGCCTATGACCTATTCCATAGCATATGGGTTAATTGGTGGGATTGGAACTTACATTGTATTGCACATTTGGGATTGGGTGGCAGAGCTGTTGGTGAAGCATGGAGTCACAAAAAGGAATGGTGATGCGGTCAATGGGGCGCATGAGCAAGCAACAGAGGATGGAAGTGTAAAAGCAGTTGAACTTGAACGTGTTTAGGTCCCAAGGGGAAAGGACGTTTGAACCTTTTGTTTTTACACCTTCACTTTGCTTTTGTCTCTTTTGGACAATATCTTTCTAGGCTTCACATTTGTAGAAAAAGAAATAGGATAAGAAATGTGTTCACATTTCACACATATAGACATAATTAGTAGTGAATATTTTTTATGAATTTGATTGTTTTGTGAGAATTTTCTTAATTTTACTTTTTTATTTATATCGTATTAAATATATATAAAATATGAAAATCATCATATTTAATTTGTATCAATATATCAAAAACAAAATATAATTTTATTAAAATTTTAAATTGTATCACTTTCTTTTTTTTTATATTGTATTTAAAATTATTAGATTTATTTTTTACCAATAAATAAAAGAAATATTTTTTTCTTCTAGAAAAGTAACTACGATGTAACAATCACATTTATTTTCTTGCAGAAAATGAAAATTTTCTTGATCTTTTAATTTAATTGTCCGAATTGTGTCGTTCTCAAGAAATAAAAGACAAGCATAAAGGGGCAGTTTTCTATTTTGTTAACTTCTAATTGTTAAATAGACTAATCATAGGTCCAAAACTCGTTTGGTCAAAGAGATGGCGATTGATTTTTCACATTAAGCAAATTGGATGGCGATGGATGGTTGCAGGCAACCATTACTTCCACGATTGAAATTGTTGGCATTTTGATAGATTTTTTTAAAAAAATTTTATCCATTGAAAAAAAAAAATTGTTGCTTCTTCTAGAAATTCTCCGTTTACTAATGATCTAAAACAAATATTTGACTAATATTCCAATCGGTAAGAGTAGTTTTTTGTTCCAAAAAAAAAAGTTTTTTTTAGTTGAAATTTATTTTCATCATCGATAACAAATTATAAGATCGAATATCTCAGATAAAAGACATCACAATAAATAATCAATATATAAATCAAAGTATTCTAGCCGATACTCGATATTTTAAGCGCTTTTTTTATATAAATATCAAGCTGATACCTTAATTTTTATGAATATATATATATATATATATATATGTATGTAGAGGTGAGACAGAACATTGATTGAAGTAACAAGAAATCAAGCATGATTCTAAACAAATGGCGACCATTGTTTTTACTTGTAGATAAGGGATTGTTTTGCATGTTCCATGGTGTTAGAATCATTGCCAATCTGTCATAAGTAGGAACTTTTTTTTTTTTTTGAATAAATCATAAGTAGGAACTTAAAGCATCAAAAGTGGGACAGTAAACAAAGCAACTTTTAGATATAACCCAATACATAGTATGTGTAAAGAATTGATGTTGAATCCCCCCCCCCCCCCCAACCAAGTCTATAAAATAAATTAGCCCTTAGGAAAAAAGGCTAATAATAAGGGAAGATGTACTTGAAAATTAAATTTTATTGTAAGGTGATTGATTATTTAAAATAAATTTCATGGGGTCTTCTAATTAAAAAAGAATTTTCAAAACCTAATTGCCTTTGATTATGGACTGATTAAAGGATATTCACAGTTGATTTTATCATTATATGTATTAGTTTTTTTATGAAATTAGTAGTACTATTTTATATTCATAATTATTTAATTATAATCTTAGTGTATAGATCTAGAAATTAAAAACATGACATAGTATTATGAAATGAAAATAATACGAAAATAGATAAGGAAATCACATGGTTTAAAAATTTTAACAAAAATTATATATGAGTTTAACAAAAATTAAAAACAAAATTTCATAATTTTTGTAGTAATACAAATAATAAGACACAAATATTTTCATGTAAAATACGATATAAATATATAAATTATTAATATTTTATACAATATAAATATACAATTCACCGAATCTACAAGTATATATCCTAATATGTGAAACTCATAATTAACATGTTTCTAATAAAATTGTCTTCAATATTGAAAACAACTCCATCCTTGTCACAAATAAAGTTTGATCTAACAAAGAACAATATTTTTCTTGCGCACAAAAATATATTACATGGTTCGAATTTAAATATATAAATTAAATTTATTAAAAATATATACAAATTAAATTGGGTTCTTAAGACAACACTCTATCCTTTAGGACAAGCGTCTCCAATTGAGACCAAGTCCTATTGATTGTGAAACCAAAGCATCCTTGAGGGATCAAACATCTATCTATCAAAGTAATTAATTTATTTGTTGAGAAAATTGAATTAAATGGAGACCCCATTTTTTTTTTTTTTGTTTATGGTCTTTATCAGTGCTAGTCGTTTTCTTTCTCTAAATAATGCTCTCAAAAAGGAAGAAATGGGTGAGGACTGATCGGGAGGATGCTGAAGATGTTTAACATTATTTGGCTTCCACCTTCGTTTATTGGCCATGCTTTAATTGGTCCACCTACCATTGAAATTTGAAACTACCCTTTTTAGGGTAACTAAACGCCCAATTATTGAGACTTTTCCTAACCTCACTAACATTGGTTTTAACCCTTTTTTTTTCAATGATAACCTTACATTTATTACATTGTAGAAAATTAACACCAGCATATATTTGGATAAATTTATCATAAACTTTGATCAAATTTGTATGTTGTAGACTTATTTAAGAGTTGGATTATCCGTCTAAATTCAAAAGTTCACTCACATTTTAAGAAGATTTTGACAAAAAATTAAAACGCATATTAAATGGGATTAGACATAATTTTTAAGTTCATTTAAATTTCAAGTCAAATCTTGAACAAAAGATTTAAAGTTCAAGTTTGGCCTAAATTCATATATATAATTTTTTATTTTTTACATATATGTGAATTATATAAAAATTAATTTATATAATTATTTATTTATATATATAAATTAAATATAAACTCATTAAACTTAAGTTAATCACACTTTTTTTAAAATTTTTTATTATATAAATTGAGTTTAATTGGTGAATTTGAATTTTTTTTTTATTTGAGTCAGGTTTCAAAAAATTTTAAAACTCAAAATTTCAAATTAAACCAGACATGGATAAGTATATAAATTATTAACACCAAATATGAGCCTGACCTAAACCTGGCCTAACTTGATCTATCAACACCTTTAATATCTTGATACTTGAATTTGAAATCTGATCAAAATTTTAATTTTTTTTAATGAAATTATTTATTTATTTGCTTTTGTGGCTACCGATTAGAGTAGAGTCAGAAATTTTACTTTGGATGCCACTCAATATATACATGATTAATGTAAAGTTAAAATAGCATATGAGATATAATTTCTCAACATTTCAAAGGGTTAAAAAGGTAAAAAAAAAAAAAAAAAGGTAAGGAAAATTCATCGGACACTTAATTTTACATAAAGATTATCTTTCTTATATAAAAGATTATAATAGTTTAGCATTCTTTAATTGTTTTCTATTCTTAATTTAGAAAGAAAATACTAATTGATACACCATAATTGATGATTTGGTGTTAATATATTTATATGATTGATTGGGAAATTTTCTTTTATTTAAGGCAGTAAATAATTATTATGTATAATAATGTTTAATCAAATAAAAAATGAATGATAATCAAATTAACAATGAGTTCTAAAATTTAAAAAATTAACAAATTTATCATATTAATGTATAAATTTTACAAAAGAGGGATCAAAATAAAACCTCTTCCTTATCACTGAAACACTGTCTCACTTAACCAAGATTTTAGATTTTAAGTCCCCTTATAATATGCAAATTAATTTGAAATTTCTTCATTTTCCAAACTTGAGTGCTATCTTATCTGATTGATCTGATTTATTAGGATTAGTCTTTTTCTCAATGGGTCCTTTTAGTTGCTTCTTTTTTATAGGATTCTTTTTGCACGTATATTAAACAATTGAAACATTTAATCTATAAATTAAACGGCCATTATATAAGATTCACGGTATATAAATATATATATTTTGTCATTATCAGCTTTAATCCAAATTAAATTAGATTGATGACACTTCAATCAAGCCTAGGATTAGCATCTGTTCTTGTTAAGGATGGCAGTAGCTTTGCTAGTGCTGAGACACTGTTTAAACAAACCTACTTTTGGCCAATCACAAAAGATTCTCAGAACAAATTAAAGCTCAGGAATTAATGTCGCAAGGTGCCATCAAAATCTGGTTCTTGTGCCCTTGATTGTGTTCGTTAGACCAAAATTCAAAGGGAAGGCAGGCAATTTGAAGTGGGAAATGAAAGATTGCTACCACCACACACCTGTCCTTTGTGCTGGATTAGTGGGGTTCCTAGCCAAATCAGAGGAATGTCATTAACTTTTATAATACAAAGAATTTGCACTTTGCCACTTAAGAAGAAGTTATTCAACTTTTAAATTTTGAATTGATTCAAGTCTCATCGTATATAAGTTTGATTTGCTAATTGTTGATTTAATTTATTTATTAATTTTTGTTTTTTAACATATATTAAAAGATATTTATCGAGAATATTAAATTCTTAATTCTAATAATTAAATTCAATTTCTATTAAAAGTCACTTGTAATTTATGTAATTTCAACTAAAAATGCAAAGAATTTGCACTTTGACAAAGGAACAAGATCCCTATTGTAATGTACGAATTACAACTTCATACACGTACTGATGTACGTTGACAGGATGATTCCCCCACCAGGGGAATGAAAACAAAGGTTGGCTTGTTATAGGCTTTAAAAATTCTCCATTTAGCTTCAAAAAACAAGCATTGATGGATTAATATTCTGTTTGTTGTCTGATTACCATTCTTCATTGTGAGAAAAAAGTTGATAAAGGAGAGAGACTAGAGAGGTTTGGAGACAGAACATATTCTTGACTCTGATTTGTTGATCTGACATCAAAACACAACACTGTTATTGTCATGTAAAAGGCTACCTTTATGAGCATGATCGTTTAAGCTTATGTCTCTCATATACATGTGAAAAATAAGGTAAGATTTAATCTTGGTTTTCTAGTTACAACAGGTGTCAGATATCCTATTTAGCAACCCTCGAAGTTAGCATTATCCAAAATTAGTCACACTACTTAAACCTAATTTGGATGCGTGATGAGAACATTTTAAAAATTCAATCATAAAACATAAATTCCGACACGATCAGAGTTCTCGCACCATGAATACAAATCAAGCATTAGGCAAAGATAAGCTTGGAATGGAGGCCTTCTACACGTAACAAGATTTCCCAATCTTGAAATGGATACAGATAAAAAGAATAACTGTTAATTTGATGATAATCTTGATTCTTTAC